TGTGGGTCTCTGTGCTTCTACTATAAGCCTTCTATTACTAGGAGCAAATCTCGCCTTTTCAGGCACATCCCGCCCGCCCCCCTCCTAAACACATCTTGGCCCCCCATCTGCTCTCCGCATTCCGTGTCCCTCCTCTCCCTCCCTGCTGTGCTGGCTCAAGAACTCAGGGTTCCAACCAGCCCTGTCTCTGTCTCAGCTCAGCCTATACATATGACACTCGCAGCCACAACTCTGGGCTCCACAATCTCACATGTCCCCTGGACTCTTGGGACTCCTCTTGACAAAACAGTCAGACCATTTAACACTTCAGTGCTTTCTCTGGCTTATAATGCTCAAACGTCATGCTTTTACCAAAAACCAAAATCACTCCCTAACTACCATCCAGCCATTTCTCCCATCCCACCTCCATGGGATGGATCCCCATGGCACATGTACCAGCTGGACCATGTCTTGCCTCCCACCATCTCTGAGTCTATGGCCTTGAATACACTTTTCTGTTAGATCTCCCCTCCTAAGTCCACAACATCCTTCAGGACACAGTAGCCACTGTTTACCATTTGGTAAGTGGCCCTTTGCCGTGGGCTGGACCTGTCCGTGCCCACTGCAGGTGCATCATTTCACTGCATCTTCCTAGGCACCACGTTTAAGAATGTGGAAATGGAGGTTTGCAGAGCATCTGCTCTGGTCCTTTAAAATAAGTCCAGGAGGGCCTCCCTGGTGGCACAAGGGGTTAAGACGCAACCTACGAAGCTGTCCGCAGCCACTGCAGCATGAGTTTGATCCCTGCAGGCCAGGGAGCTGACCCACATGGCGCAGCAGACCTCTCCTGTCTCACCCACTGCTCCCCTCAGCAGTGTATTTCAGTCAGTCTGCCTGTTCTGCTCCCCAATCTATCTCCAGTGAATCCTCTCACCACCCCCCACACCTCTGGCCTGTACCCCAGTTTTTGTATGCATAAATAAATAAATCTTTAAAAAATAAAATAAGTCCACACATGCCTTGCTACTCTTCCCTTCAAAAGGAAGAGCCTCGTTACTCTCCCTTTGAATGTGGTGGGCATGGAGGTGTTTCAGTCTCTCACGGAGGAGACCAGTCATCATGTCTCAAGGACACTCAAGCAGCCCAAGTAAAGGTCTTCAGCCAACAGCCAGCACCACATGAGTCATCTGAAAGGGACCCCTCCAGGCTCAGTCAAGCCTTCAGCTGCCTACAGCCCCTGCCAATCTTGACTGTGACATAAAAAAGTCTCTGAGCCAGAAGCACCTGGCTGAGCTGCTCTGAATTCCTGAGCCACAGACACAAGATAATAAGTATTTATCATTTAAGGGCCTCAGTTATGGGGTAATTTGTTATACAGCATTAGATAAGGACAACACTTACTCAAGGTCATGCGACTAGTAAGTGGAGGAGTAAAAATCTGAAAGCTCTTTGGCCCCTGAAACTCGTGCTCTTAAACCTAGCCCAAAACTACCTGCACTACTGAGCTATCTTTTGCTTTCTTTAGAAAACCTCAACAGGGTCTCTCCTTTGAAAAACATCTTCCTTCAGCCTGTACCTGAAGCCCTACTCCAAATGCCCATTCACCCTGCCCCACAACCACTGTATTCCCTGACACCCCACCTTACTTGCCTTTTATCAGCTTTAGGCTCTCAGATTTAGTACCTACCTCCTACTGTTGTCAAGAAGATTAAATGAGACAATGTGTAAAAGCAATTGCAGTAGTGGCCCATTATGCCATTTATCACACTAATTACCTCCTCAGGACATCACTGCTCCTGCCCTCTGGACAAGGGCTCAGCTCTGGCTGTCCATTCTGGTCACCTAGGAAGCTATGCCTCTGCCTGAATTGATAGGTCTGACCGATAGGTCTGGGGGAGCAGCCAGATGATTTTAAAGCTCAACCAGGGTAGAAAACCACTGGATTAAAATATAAGAATGTCTCTAAATTAGACTCTTCTCAAATCCCTCATCATTTATTGTACAGGCTATCTTCATTTAGAATAGTTACTAACTTCCTCTGGCGGTGCATATAATACACTGCGAAGTGGCCTAAAATTATTTTAAAATAACTCTGTAGACAGTTATCTTTTACATGTGACCTGAAGAGAGTCTCAGCCAGGGTGATTTTGAGGTCTTCTTCTTTCCCCCTCGCCATCCTCTTGACATTTACCAGCATCTGGAGACATTCTTGATGGTAATGACTCTAGGGGGTGCTGTCCATGTAGTGGGTGGAGGTCGGAGTCCTGCTAAACACGCTGCAATGCACAGGCCCGCCCCCACAATGAAAATGAGCCAGCGTTACCTGTCAATAATGACATCTAAATTAGATGCTGTTTTCTAGCTCCAACCCTTGCTCTCCTTAAGAATGTTGGTTCCGACTTTGCCTCTTTGCCTCTTCATGCTCAAGAATATCCTTGAGCAGCACACAGCAGTACACCTGAGCTCTTGTCTCTCAAGATCAAATCTGAGCACCAACCAGCCTGGCCGTTACCCCAACTGGGCTGGCTCCAGCCCCACAGCAGGGCCCACTATGGTCTTGAGTTTCACTCTTTCCCGTTAGTACTTTGCTCACATCTGTTTTACAACACTCACTACAGAAATTCAACCAGCTGTAAACACATTTCGCTCACCCCAAGGGCTAGCGCCATATTTGATTCATCTGTGTTTTCTCCACGCTCCCGAGTTCTCTGCATCACACATGGTAGGTGTGCAATCAACATTTATTGCAGCCAATTAGATTAATATCATTTTAATTTTTATCACGCTTCTGAGCATCCCTTTGAAAGGGACTGGAAGTAGAGAATACAAATGCTGGTTAAGGCAAGAACTCTTGTGTTTCTCTTCCTGAGAAGTTCAGCTGCAATGATCGCTATTGCCACTTCCCAGTTGCCAGAGGAAGTTAGTAACTATTCTAAATGAAGATAGCTGTACAATAAATGATGAAGGATTTGAAAAGACTCTAATTTAGAGACGTTCTTACATTTTAAAGATTCTTTTCATTGGTTATTATAAGTGGGAAATGTTTATTTTTCAAGACAATGCAGCAGCTTGGAGAATGATACAAAAAAAGCCTTGTTTTTAAAAAGTAAATGCAGATCTTTCATATGTTAATAACTTATGGTCAGTAAATTATAGGCTTGCCATTTTTCACAGTGGACAAAATTAGGCATAGGTTTAGACACTACATAAGAAACAAGGTCTACCAAGATCATTCTCCTGTGAGTCAGGCATAGTCTCAGATTTAAAAAACAAAACAAAACAAAACAAAAAGCAACCAACCAGATAATATCTGGGGTGTTTTTAATTCTCTAAACTGACAAAGTCAGCCAAGAGTCTATTCAACTTGGTATTCTCAAAAAGTGCAGAGTGACAAAAGAGGCAACATTTGAGAGTTCAGGGGCTAATTTAAAGCCTCCACTCTAACATGGGGTTTTGCAAAGTCTCACTTGATTTCTAGTGTCTTAGTTTCTTGTCACTGTTCTTGCAAAGGGGTGATGTGAAAATATTTCAAAGAAGCAGGTTAAATATATACTTTTCTGTAGACAGAGTTATCTTTTACATATGACCTGAAATAGCCAACCACAGCTTAAATGTCTTCTGCTGAGTGAGATCTCTGTTGCCCACCCTACATCCAATTAAACTCTCTCAAGGCTCTGTATCCCCCTCTGCTTTGTTTTTCCCTAGAGTAATGATTTATTTGCTTATTGTCTGTCACCGCCCACTGGAATACAAGCTCCACCAAGGCAGGAATTTTCTGGCTACTTTATTTTTTATTCATTGTTTTATCTCTAACATCCAGGATGATGTTTGCCACATAGAAGAAGTATGTGTGAAATATTTCTTATATGAAGGAATATATTAAGTAAATCTAGAAATGAAATATACTATAAAGCCATCAAAAGACATGAATTGGATATATTGGGTATAAGGAAATCTATATGGCTAGATCTCAAAAACATGTATTTGAATCAAAAAGAAGCTGCAGAAAAATGTATACATTTCTTCATTGGTAAAATAGGGCTGGTAATAGTATTGTCATCAGGACCAAGTTAGTTTGCTAGTGCTAAATGCCGAGAAAATGATAGCTAAAAGCACCTAATGAATGTTAGTTGCCATCTTCATCATTATCGTTGCTACTTCACTGATGAAAAATAGTTCACACAAATAACACTGATAACTTTATATGATGTAATCTAATTTTACATAGTTGAATAAATAAATTTAAGAGCCCTGGAAGGATGCGTTATAAACCAAACTTGTTACTTTTGGGAGAAGATTAGATTAGAATGATAGCCAAAGAAAATTTCAACTTTGTCATGTTATTTTAATACTGGGCATATATCAATGCCCAGTGAATTCTTTTTAAGATTTATTTATTTATTTATATGTAGAACTGGGGTGTAGGCCAGAGGTACAGGGGGTGGGGGTGGGTAAGAGGATTCACCACAGACAGAGTAGAGAACAGAACAGGCAGATCTACTGAAATACACTGCTGAGGGGAGCAGCGGGAGAGACAGGAAAGGTCTGCTGCACCATATGTGGGTCAGCTCCCCGGCCAGGGATTGAGCTCAGGTCTTAGCAGTGATAGAGCTGAGACTTAACCCTTAGACCACCAGGAAGGCTCATCTAATATTTTAAATGTAGAGCTGATACATATAAATAAAAATTAACATTTAGAAAAGCTGAGTTATATTTCCTGAGACATAACGACTATCACAGAAAGAGAAAAGGAGAGGGAAAAAGAGACAGAGAAGAGAGTGAGAGAGACTAGAGAGATGAATTACTTAAGATAAGAACCTTTTTAAATTTTCTATTTTACTTCTAAAGTGCTTCTTGAATAATCACCACATGGATAGGATGCCAGTTAAAAGTCACAAATACAACTAACCTGCAGTCCCAGGTGGATTACATGAGTTAGTTCTCTTAGACTGGAGAAAACTATCATTAATACAATCTCAAAATCAAGAATAAATTATTTAAAGCCTTGAGTCAGTACTTACTGACACTTCAGCCACTGCTCCACAAATGGAATGGAGAAGAATTCTGTGAATAGCTCCCCTGCCCTCTTTGGATTTTGACTGGTCACAGATGCCATGTTTGATTGACAAGAAAACAATAAGGAAGAATTAAAGTCGATTACTAATATTCTGATTGCAAATTAAGACCATTGAATCCTCAAAGCCATTGAACATTTAAAGGCATGAAAAACTTACTTGTATAACCACTCGGTCAGAAAATCACAGGCAATGAATTTAGTTCTTTTCCTCTAAAGAGAGAAAAGAAAATTAAATTATATTCTTTGCCCACATGCCTGAGTAGGACAAAAGAAAAGAGTTTAATTAACTGTTGTGTTAGATAAAATATGATGAGTCCTTCATGAGGGTTATAAACACATCAACAAACAGTAACTCAGGCAACATTAAAAACTCTGAAGACATTTTCCATTCATTTTTGGATAAGCATATTTTCTGACAGAATGCATATGGTAGGTGGGCCTCCCCGGTGGCGCAGCGGTTGAGCGCTGGGTTGCGAAGCTGCCCGCGGCCTCTGCGGCACTGGTTCAATCCCCGGCTGCTCCCCGGCCACCGGAGGAGGGTCCCGCATGGCGCGCAGACCTCTCCTGCCACCCGCTGCTCCCCTCAGCAGTGTACTTCAGCCCTTCTGCCTGCTCTGCTCCCCGCTCTGGCTCTGGTGAATTCTTTCACCCTCCCGCACTTCTGACTGTACCCAGTGCATGTATAAACAAAAAACAAATAAATAAATAAATAAAAAACATGCCTCTAAAAAAAAAAAAAAAAGAATGCATACGGTAGGGAGTTTGTTGCGTGCTTCTGGAATTGTCTCGGAAAGGTTTTATTTAAATCTATACCTTGACTCTAAGTAATTGTACTTATTGTTTCCCCAATTCACTCAAACCCTCCGACCAGTATTACTTGCAGTCTCAGTACCACCTTCAAATACAGAAGCCAAACACATGGGTGTCATTGGGTGCCAGTCACCAGAATGGTTGAACCCTGCCAGCTGTCTGCTCCTTATTAGTAGAAATCTCATTGACAACCATAAGAAAAGAGACATTTCTCAGTCTCCCTTGTAGCAAGGGGCAGCCACAGACACAATCTGAGACAGAAATGGACAAGTCCTGTGGATTTCTGAGAACGTTCTGCTCTGTTGATTTCTGCTCTTCCTTAAGGTTTTCTTCTACTTCTTTCAATATGGAACAGAGACATGGGGCTGAAAGTGGCTCACCCTTTCAGTCCTGAGACCAAATGTTAATAGTACTAAGATGGTGGCAGGTTAGAAGGAACCTGGGCCTTTGATGAATTCCTTCTGCTACTGCACCGGCTGGGGCCTCACCTACTGAACATCTTGATAAGTAAGGAAAATTAACTTCACTTGGATTACTACCCCTGTTCTTGAATACTCATTGCAGTACGTGACAGATATCTAGTAAGGCACACGAGGAAGAACATCCTGGAGTAAGGGGGAGAGGGCATACTGGGAACAGCAGCAGGGGGGCACACTTGGAAAAGCAGTAGGGTGAACCCGACAAGGCAAGTATCTTGTCTCCCAGTTCCATTTAAAGTCTCTTTAACCCAAATAGAACCGGTTAACTCCTTCTAGAAAAAAGTTATGGAAACCAGGAGATAGAAGGTCTCTGTCTTTTAAGATACCAGGGGCTAAGAACCGAGTGTTGGTTACCATGTGAAGAGATCCTTCCCAAGAATGAAGGTCATACAGAGCCTGCTGGAAATTCTCTTTGTCCCTCCACCCTGCTCTGTGCCTCAGATTGCTGATTCACATCAACCAGGCTCCCTTATTCTCTAGTTGGGTCCAACAAATGGCAGGTACCAGAAGTGAACCAGACAGGGAAGAGAGAAAGGCAGGGTGTTGTGTGTTAAATTGTGTGTCCTCTGCTCCCAGTGAATAGGTTGAAGTTCTAACCCAACAGTCAGACATCACTCAAAGACGTTTCTGCCACTGATGGATCACATATAATGGGATGGTCCCAACAGCCTGCTTCATGGAACCCAGGGGTAGGCTGGGTCAGCTAGGTTTGGGTAAGTGCATTCTATGGCATTTGCACAATGATGAATTGTCAAAGGACATATCCTATTATTAAGCAACACATGACTGTACTTTAAAATGTGAGCTTTTAATAACAGGACTATTAAAATACAACTAGATAAGCCCAAACACTCCTGAAGGACGGCAGCTCCAATAAGGGTGAATAAATCTCTGGTTCTACTGACAAGCAAGAAGGGAGATGATATTGTTTAGACCACCCACAGCCAGTGCCTAGTGGCATATACACTAGGTCACTGTAAGTACTAGACTCTGCACACAGCTATACCTGAGGTCAAAATTCCCCAAACCTTTCATGTACATTACCCAATATATTCTCTTATTGGATTAAACAAGTTTGAGTGGAGTCCCTTATTGCTTGAAACAGAAAGAGTTTCCACTACTCTTCCTTTCTTCTACAGCTGGCTAACTCCCACTTCTTCCACATGCTCCTGGAAAGACTTTCTGTCCATTCTTACTTTCTTCAGTAAGAGCTCAGGATAGGTGCTCCCCAGTTCTCTGTGTACCCTGCTGTCACGGCAACTCAGACATAACTGGAGCATACCTGCCAGCCCACACCTCCATCTCCTGCACTCTCCCTCCCTACCTCCTTCTCTCTTCATTATCGCTTTCTTTATATTCCCAGTGCTTCCCTGAGTGTCTTGCACACAGTAAGGTATCGGTGAATGGTAAGTAAATGAATGAATGATTCCACCATGCAATTCTCAAGCAACAAAGCAAGAAAAGATCCATGTGTAAGAATTCAGACACTTAAAAGTAGGGCTTGCTAATAAAATGCTGGAAAAATTGGGCTGTGAAGCTGTCCGCAGCCTCTGCCGCAAGAGTTCAACCCCTGGCCAGGGAGCTACTCACATGGCGCAGCAGACCTCTCCTGTCTCTCCCGCTGCTCCCCTCAGCAGTGTTTTCAGGCCATCTGCCTGTTCTGTTCCCCACTCTGTCTCTGGTGAATCCTCTCACCCCCCGCACCTGTGGTCTGTACCCCAGTTCTTATATGCATAAATAATCTTTAAAAAAAATTCTAGACAACATCTCTTCACCTTCTTCCCACAATTTTTTTATTATGATAATTCTTCCATTTCCTTTTCTTTTTACCTTTTCACTTTGAAGCAGCCGACATGGCTTTATAATCTTGCACAGGGCTGAAGAGATTGTTGTGAAATTGATTCTCACCAAAAAGGAAAGTGCTTCTGAAGATATTTTTACTGAAAACTTTATTATAGCTGTTGGTAAATAAAATACAGTGATGTCTGACTTGCTGGGGATTGTTTGCAGTCTTTACCTCGTTGCTGATAAGCTTTCATTAAAAAAAAAAAAAAAACCTGAAATGCTGCTGGACAGGGTAATAAAATGAAATGTATTTGACTATTTAATGGGGTATTCTATTCTAAGTCCCACAGCTGTAGGAGTCCATTCAAAATGTCACCTTTACCCAAAATAAAAAAAAATACTTGTACAACAATGCAAATATGTATCTAGCATGAATAGCCTTATACTAATTTAAACAATACAGCCATTGTCAATGGTGCTGTCTCTCTCACTCTACAAAAGAGGCATTGTCCCCGAGGCATTTACCCATCGTCTGGTAGTAAAGATTCCTTTTCCAAAGGGAATGCAGCTTGACTTACTCTATTAAATAGACTGTTCAGATCGCCAAATGGCCCAATGCATGAAGGCCATGCAGACAGATTTAATCACTTCTGATACAAAGAAATAAAACGGGAGAAACTGTTTTCCTTCCGTCCCGGGCAAGTGTGGACATGCTGTGCGTCCGCAGACACACAGAACAGGGGGACACACTGTTCAGCTGTTGTCCAGATTAAAAATTCTCTGAAAGAGAGCTGAAAGGGAGCTGAAAGAGCGAAGGAAAACAAATGAAAAGCGGTGGTGAGTGAAGAGGTAAGAGAGGAAGGAACAGGAAAAAATTAAAGAGCGAGATTAAGAAAGTGGGCAGGCGCCTGGGTTTATGTAATGTGGACAAAAACAGAGTCCGTGATCGCTGTTTAAGCGTGAAAATACACAAGATCTGGCAAGTGGAGGGAACAGTTAAAACAACCTCAAAAGAAGGTTAAAGATAGGGTTGTTGTTTTTTTTTTTAATCCAGAATTAAAAGGAAAAAAGACTAGGTCAAGGGATAAGACATCACCATATTCTTGTGATTCTGCAACTCCTGTGAAATCCATTCAGAAACGCCAGATGGACGGATAAAGGGCAGGTGGAGAAGCAAGTAAAGTAAAACGGTAACTGTAGATCAAGGTAGCTGTGAGGGTATGAACTCTGAAGTCCTTTCAATTCTTTCATACGTTGGAGACATTTTTTATAACAAAATTTGGTAGGGGAGCTGCCATCACAAAAGACCCAAACCTCAAAGAGAAAAAAAGGCAGAAACAAATAGGTGTTCGATGCAGGCAGTAGTCTAAGCCAGATTAATATTGGCTGCACACATAAGAGGCAGACAGGTACTGGAGGCTGGGGAGAGAAACAACCCACACTGCTCTGTACCCGGGACGTATGCATTCCACCCCAGGAAGGTCAAAAGCACAGGCCAGGAGGTTAGTGAACTCAAGTGTGGTTGGCTGGCTGGCATTGTGTTGGTTCAGACTCTGGGTTTGCCAAGGATAGAAACATGCTCATGTTACCTTTGTTACTGGGTGTGTGTGTTTGTTTTAAGTCAGTTTAGGATAGATTTTGCTACAACCCAACCCCAAAGCTGAGAAGCTCGTATCATCACCCGTTTCTTCCTCACATTACATCAACATTTCAATCAGCTGTGGCTCACTCTGTCTTTATTCTGGGGCTTGACAGAGCAGGCTGACATCGCTACAGTATCACTAGTTATGCTGGCAGATGAAAATAAAATGGGGAGCCAGGCTTTGACCCTTAAAGTGTGTGTTTGGAAATACCATGACGTTGTGTCCATTCATTCTGTGAGCCAAGCAGTCACATGGTCAGGCTCCCCTTAGAAAGAGACCACAGGTGTTTTCAACAGCAATGGCCAGTGTGAAGGTCGGAGGAGTGTAAGGAAAATGAGAACCCTCTGACCTACGGGCTGAGCCAGGTCTCAGGAGGAAGTGGACCGCACTTGCCAGCTGTGGAGGGCACACTTCCAGATCTGGTTCTTGGAGAACTCAGCCCTTGGTGGCTTTCTCAACTTTCCATTGCTTTTTCTGCTGCTCTCTCTCATCT